TTCACACTTAAGTTTGCACTAGTCACTAGTTAGTATCACTGTAACAATTCTCATTCCTCACAAGTATAATTAAGAAAAGATTAATAAAGAGTAGCCTAAAAAAACTTTTAAGGAGCCAATACTAGTTGACTTTGACTTTTAGTTTTATAATGGTAAAATTGAAGACAAAATGGTGCCGGCCCGGTGAACCACATTGACAAGCAGAAATATTATAAAATGTACTTATTCCTTAGATACTATAGCTACAGAATATATCATATTATCATTCTAGATAAACTGTACAGTAATTGCAGTTGTTTTCATCCTAAGAAAAATTTAGAACTGCCCATTTCATAGCTGCTTCCAGATGCAGTGTGTGTTGTGGGCATAAGCCTTCTAGGGGTGTCGGGGATAGCTCTCCCCCCTGAAAAATTTTGAAATTGAGGTCTCTCAAATGGCATTTCCAGCATTCTGAGAACAAATTTTGGGAAAAATTTTAGGTTTACAAAAGATTATAACGGTGCATTTTTTGAAATCAGAAATCTGGGTATATATAGTAACTATAAGTCACTCACTTCATCAATATTTCCCTTTTTTTTGTAGATAATCTTTTAAATATTGATTATTGAATGTTTAGACACTTTACAGACTCTACACATAAATAATATAAGTAATATATACTTACCGGTTTAATAAAAATAATTACATTTCCTTTAGGCAATAAAAAAACACTGTTCTTCCATTCTTCCATTTGAAAAACCTAAAATTGAATACTGTGAAAAGAAAAATATATTTGGCTGCCTGCTGCCATATTTTAAAAATTTAACCTCCTGTGGCCACCCTTTGTCATAGTGATCATAGTCAATAGGTTTCTATTTTTGACTAGTATAGTTTTGTGCAAGTCCATGTTTTACAAATGAGTCCAGTCCATGTTTTACAAATGAGTCCAGTCCATGTTTTACAAATGAGTCCAGTCCATGTTTTACAAATGAGTCCAGTCCATGTTTTACAAATGAGTCCAGTCCATGTTTTACAAATGAGTCCAGTCCAGGTTTTACAAATGAGTCCAGTCCAGGTTTTACAAATGAGTCCAGTCCATGTTTTACAAATTCTATTGTTCTGAGTCCAGTCCATGTTTTACAAATGAGTCCAGTCCAGGTTTTACAACATGCCTCACGTTCGGCTGTAGGGCGCAATTTGACTTCTTCCTTCGCTGATGATTCCAACAGTGATAACACAAAGTCTGTTTGTTCAATTTGGGTCATTTTCCTAGCTGATATCAAACTTTTCACATTGTCAACAAAATTCTCCACTGTATCTTCATCTGCCTTTCTACTACCAGAAAACTTCTGTATTTTACGCTCTCGGAAAACATACACAACTTGGGGTGTCTGTGCTGGACTAGATGGTGCATTCTTACTTGAAGTACTAGCTTCGCCCTGGCTAACAGTTACTGCTGAAAGTGCTTGTTTTGTGTGTTTATTCTCATTTTTTAACTTTTCGATTTCAGCCATTAAGGTTTGCAATAAAGAGTTGTCCTCACCGCCTTGGGCCGTTGCCTCAGCAACATCGCCGCCCTCGTTTTGCTCCTCATCAGACATAGTATTTTAATATTTTACTGCACGAATGTTCAAAATAATCCTGCCGACTACGCCAAATGTGGCCGGGACATAATAGATTCGTGAAAACTGTTTATAATTTTCTTTTATTTTGAACATGTACCCCAAAATACGAGGGCGACGGTTACAAGCTATAAAAGTTAATGCAATATAACTAAGTAAACAAAATATTAAAATACACACTTCCTGTATCCTACAATAAACATGCCGATTTATCAAATACAAAGTAATATATCTCCCAAAAGTTGATGAAACCATAAATATCTCCGTCTATAATGTCAAACTTAAGACAAATCATGCACCGTTCTAAAGAAATATTTACATAAATTACTCAAAATGACCATACTTCAACAGCTATTACGATTAATATATTCATGCGTATATTTTTATACCTTTAACATGATTATAATACATCAATACTTCTATAATTACTGGATAATAACGTTAACTTACCAGGCAACTGCCCGAGAATGTTAATGCCCTTTTACTGTTGTTCTTTCCTTCGATATAAATGTTTCTTTGACGATAAAATACTGAATAATATCTTTTGAAATCGCTTTTATATTTGTTCAACTGCATTTTGCAGCATGGCGTGTTCATGACGTCACAGGAAGTGATTATAACAGGAAGTTAACTAACAACAACTATTAAGGTGTCTCTGAGTCTCTCTACAGTTTATTCAACCTGGCCACATACAGAACACCTGTAGCAAGTGGTCGTGTCACTTGGCTTCTTGATGATCTAAAATTGATCAAGTTTGGCCCTGTAGCCAGACCTGCCACCCATCACGCAGAAAACAGTAGTGTTGGAGATTCGGTAGTCCATGTTGGTGTCTCAAATGAAGTTATTCAGCTGGTGGCAGCCCAACATGAGGAGATTCCACAGGCATGTAACAGCTGCATGTAACAGCTGCATCTCTTTATTATCATTTATTAATCGTTTTCCTTCTATTTTTAATAGGTTTATACTGGTCCCTATAAAAGAGCAGAGAACATAGCTCGTGTGGAAAATTTGTGGCACCATATTTCTGTTGGAGATTTTGTTGCTGTTTCCATTGAAGGCAGTGAAAAACCAGTTATTGGGAAAGTCCTTAATATCACCGAAATGGAATTTGAGATCCATTACTGGAAAGGATCCATTAACACCAAATGGACCCCATGGTTAACAAATGAAAAACTGCCTTGGAATGACAAGTTGCCAAAGGAATGCGTTTCTCTAGCAGACTTCCACCTTGACTCAAATTCCAAGTTACACCCAGATACAAGGAGGCAGATTTGCCAATTTAAGAAAAGCCAGCAAGCAAAACACAAAGTCTGATTGTGTTCTACATTGACTATGTAGGTATACTGTACCACAAACGGTTTTTATAAGAGTTTATATCACTAATTCTAGGTTTTGTTTTGGATGCATCCAAAACCATTTTCATAATTACTTACAGTAAATCGGGTAAATTGGTTTCCATATTCTTGTTGAATTGGTACCAAAACTATTTTCAGTATCGTTAAATTCAGTCAATAGCGCTAAAATAGGTAAATCGATTTGCATTTTCCTAAAGGTTTGGTTTTGGACGCATCCAAAACCATTCTCATGAGCTATAAATTGGCTAATTTGTTTCCATTTGTCTAGGGATTGGTTTTGGATGCACCCAAAATCATTTTCATTAGCGCTAATATCGGTCAATTGATTTGCATTTTCCTATAGGTTTGGTTTTGGACGCATCCAAAACCATTCTCACGAGCTACGAATTGGCCAATTTGTCTAGGGATTGGTTTTGTACGCATCCTAAACCATTCTCGCGAGCTATAAATTGGCCAATTTGCTTGCATTTGTCCATGGATTGGTCCAAAACCATTTTCATTAGCGCTAATATAGGTCAATTGATTTGCATTTTCCTATAGGTTTGGTTTTCGACAGATCCAAAACCATTCTCATGAGCTATAAATTGACTAATTTATTCGCATTTGTCTAGGGATTGGTTTTGGACGCATCCAAAACCATTCTTGTGAGCTATAATTTGGCTAATTTGTTTGCATTTGTCTAAGGATTGGTTTTGGACGCATCCAAAACCATTCTCATGAGCTATAATTTGGCTAATTTGTTTGCATTTGTCTAAGGATTGGTTTTGGATGCATCCAAAACCATTCTCATGAACTATAAATTGGCTAATTTATTTGCATTTGTCTAGGGATTGGTTTTGGACGCATCCAAAACCATTCTTGTGAGCTATAAATTGGCTAATTTGTTTGCATTTGTCTAAGGATTGGTTTTGGATGCATCCAAAACCATTCTCGTTAACTATAAATTGGCTAGTTTGTTTGCATTTGTCTAAGGATTAGTTTTGGACGCATCCAAAACCATTCTCATGAGCTATAAATAGGCTAATTTGTTTGCATTTGTCTAGGGATTGGTTTTGGACGCATCCAAAACCATTCTCATGAGCTATAGATTGGCTAATTTGTTTGCATTTATCTAGGAATTGGTTTTGGACCCATCTAAAACCATTCACAAAAGCACTAAAATCGGCTGATTTGTGTTCATTTGTCTGGGGACTTTTTGCTAAAATCAGCGAATTGGTTCGCATTTCTCTAGGATAGTTTTGGACATATCAGTCAATTGATTTGCATTTTCCTGGAGGGTTGGTTTTGGACGCATCCAAAACCATTCTCATCAGCTATAAATTGGCTATTTTTTTCCCATTTGTCTAGGGATTGGTTTTGGACGCATCCAAAACCATTCTCGTGAGCTACAGTATAAATTGGCTAATTTGCTTGCATTTTTCTAGGGATTGGTTTTGAATGCATCCAGAACCATTTTCATTAGCGCTATTAAAAATCGGTAAATTGATTTACATTTTCCTTAGCTGATGTTATCTTAACCAAAACTATTGTAAATTATAGCATATTCGTAGCATAGATTTCTTGTATATTATTGCTTTTACTACGGTGGCCCAGAAGGCTCAACAACTTAAATAAAAAGAAATGGCAATTAAGAATAATAAAAACACAAATAAAAGAAAGCTACAACGCAAACAAAAAAATTACCACGCAACAAAAAACCTTGCAACACAAATAAAAAAATCTGAACGCAAACAAAAAATGTCACAACGCGAATAAAAAAATCTGAACGCAAACAAAAAATACTGACAACGCAAACAAAAAATACTGACAACGCAAACAAAAAATACTGACAACGCAAACAAAAAATATTGACAACGCAAATAAAAAATATTGACAACGGAAGTAAAAGTCTCATGACAGAAGTAGAAGTCAAACAACGGTAGTAAACTTCCCATTTGGCTACCAGGAATTTTATTTTTAATAGCGGGAAAACTGCAAGAACAGTAAACAGCTGCCATGTTGTTTTTCCACGCTTGGTCGCTTTCCAAGAAAGCATTTTTTAAAAATGTTTTGTCATATTTGTGGTGCGGAGACACCAGATCGCTCTAACTTCTGCTGGAAATGTGGTGCTTCTGTGAAAAGCGAGAAAGCAGAAGAGGACAAAAAGAAACCCGTAAGTTTCAATGCATTTAAAAAGAGAAAAGAAGAAAGATCTTCTAGATTTCAACCGAAAAAAAAGTTAAAGTCAGAAAGCAGTGACAAAAACAAGTGAGCATCAACGTTGGGTATATGAAGTTCGAAGATGACAAATTTAAAAAGTGTAGAGGACGAACGCTTCCTGTCAAAGTACCAGTGACTGCAGATCGAAAAACAATTTTGGAAAGAAGCGTTCGTAAACACGCAAACCACTTTAAAGACGTCCATGAGAACCTAGAATACACACTCATTTACCCAGATAACAGCAAAATGGTGCATCTACCAGGAACAACTGAACAATTCGTCCTTAATAAATACAGGGAAGACGTTGGAAGGAAATATAACCGTATTACTATTTTCATCGCGACCAAAACAGATTACATCAACTATCATCTATTTAAAATTGGTGAGAGCCTTGAAGCGGAATCATCTGACAATAACCATGGCAGTGAAGACGATGATGATCGAATAATCGACGAAACCGTGAACAACGCACATTCCTTTCAACATGACCGGAGATTGAGACAAGCCAAATCGAAACAAACGACATTGGAGCAAGTGAGCGGACCAAGTACTAGTAGTACATTACCAAGTACTCATGGTGATGAACAAAGACCAGATACAAGTAGTACATTGCCAAGTACTCATGATGGTGATGAACAAAGACAATCCTCTGTTGAACATTACATTGAATGTCCATCATGCTTCAAAATTTTCCCGATTAATGAAATTGTGGAGCATGCTGATAAATGTGTGGACATCTGGATTGGTGAGGTACAAGTAGAAGACAGTGAAAATGAAAGTGAAACGGACACTGATCTTCCTGATCCTGGATTTATTGATGCGGAACCAGCAGATACCAGCCTGAAGAATGTTGCCCAGCAGTTGGCAGATGTACATGTCAAGAAGGAACAACCCAAAAGAGTAAATGTTCGCAGAAAACACTTATGGATGGATTTCAAACAAGCCAAAGAGAAATGGAACCTTACTGCAAATACTCCAATTCGAATTGTTTTCCTAGGTGAACCTGCAGTAGATCATGGAGGGCCAAAAAGGGAATTCTTTTCAGGTAATTAACTTTTTAACAGCAAACTTGATTGTCACAGATTGTACATGTCAACAGGGGGATTTGTTTACTTATAAGTATATCTTGACTAACAAGACATCTACTCAGGTATTCACTTTGGCCCATAGGGGTGTAACAGAGAAAGTATAGGGATGGGCGGGATTGTGTAACTGCTCAATATATGGTTGGCTCTCCTTTTAATAGTTAATTTTAGAAAGATAATATTCAATTACAGTGTAGTTGTCGGGAACAACAAATTAAAGCTGTAGACGGATATGTAAATATGTAAATATGCCCCCCAGTAAATGTGCGCCCCAGTAAATATGCGCCCAGTAAATATGCGCCCCAGTAAATATGCTCCCCAGTAAATATGCGCCCCAGTAAATATGCTCCCCAGTAAATATGCGCCCCAGTAAATATGCCCCCCCCC